AGCAGAAGGTTATTGAGGACCAGGAGTATTTTTAACTGGTAACAATCGTGCTCCCTGGTCCTTAACGCAAAGGGCTGCCTATTGGGCAGGTGGTCTCAACCCTTTAGAAAGGGGAGACCCTCTTGCCATTACTGGAACAGTTGATCAGTTAGTAGAGAGTGTTCAAAAGGCTGCTTGTCTCCAAATGATGTATGATAGAAAGCTGCAGCCACATCATGAATCACCTATGATGATGCCTGTTGATCCTGAGAAAATGACTGCTTTAATTAGAGGGCTTCCAGAGTCGTTAAAACCTATAGGTATACAACTGCAAGGAAAAATAGAGGCTATGTCTCAGGGAGAGAGAACCCGGGCAGCGTTAGAAGGAACTATAACCCCCAACAATCTCCAGACGGCATACAAAGTGTGGACATGGGGGGAGGTCGCTCAAGAGTTAATAAACTACGGCCGAAGGTACGGTCCTGTGACTACCCTCACCGTTAGACGAGGGACTAAGGGAGTGAGGCGTGCAGTGGTTAATCTGACCCCTCTCCCATCCAACCCAGTTCACAACGGATTTAAAGGGGCTTCATCTTCAGTAAAGCCAAGTGGGAGAAATATAGATCATAAACGTAATTGTTTCTGGACGCTGGGCTGGCAAAAGGGTGTTCCACGAGATTTGATGAATGGATTACCCACTGTCATGTTAGAGAAATTAGTTAACTGGTGGCCAGAACAAAAGATCCAGAATCTCAAGGAAAGCAAAACCCCAGGTCCTAGGGTCTCTCCCAAGGAACCTGAACGGCTATCCAAGCCATTAGAAAACTGATGTCTTCGCCCCTCCTAAGTGAGCGGGGTGGGGGCGGTGAAGGGTGGATGCATGAGAAAGCTCACAACAAAGGGAAACAAGATCGTCGATTTAACACCTTTTGCTAAAGGCCTCACCACTCTTGCCAGTTATCCCTGTGAGTCACCATCCAGTAGCTGATAAGCCAGGGAAATACTTTTACCTCCCTGGCCAGACTGTGTCTATTGACTCAGCTAGCCTGAGGCCAGTTTCCCCTAACCTTAACAGGATCCCTTAACAGATATCTTTGCAAGGCTAAGACCCCGAAAAAGGAATATGGAATCAACACTTGCTGTATTGTTCCCTCATTTTTTAACCCTATTAACAAAGCCCAAAAAGGGCAAGTTTGTGTCTTGTTTTATTTCACAGAAGATCCACGTGGGACCTTGACAGAACACAAAAAGGCTAATAGCTGATTTTAACTATTTGTGTTTTGTGACAGAAATACTGATTTGATCATGCTAGAACACTGAATGTACCTTTTGATTACATTTTTTTTTGGTTGCAATAGTGTTATGTTTTGTGTTGTTATGGGTGTGAGTGGTGATTGGTATCAGTCCTTGGATCTGTTAAACTTCACAACTGGGTTCAGGGTTTTTTACAGGTCATCCTGGTTTACTGGTACTCCCTGCACAGTGATACCATTTCTTTTGACTCCTTCTTTCACCCCTTTTTACCAAACTGATTATGATTTGCATGTAACTCCTCCACAGTGTTTCCAAATTTCTGACAAACTGGGAAATTAATCAAGGGACTCATCTAATATCTATTAGATGTGGTCACAAAAGAAATCTATCATAAAGCCTTTTGCACTGATGCTTTTCAGTGTCACACCAGTCCAGGAGTTCCATCCAAAACATGGTTGTTGGAAAGTGCCTAAGTTATAATAAGAGATGTGTGTGTTTCTGGGATTACCCCTCCGTGATGGTTTGTACTGTGGGGGTGTCCTGCACACACTGTCCTGTGAAAAGTTCTGTGGACTGTAACAATACTTGAACTTACCAAACTAATATTTAAATCTCTTAGCATTTGAATTGCTTTGCAAATGCTCAAGTGTAAAGTTCTTGAAACACTAAATCATCTTGGAAAACATTACATGGCAAGTCCACGAATTGTCAAATTAGACTAGATATGCTTTTAATCTTTTAGTAAATTAACTGAAGTGTAATATTGTATGGCTATTCATAAACACCACAACCTCTACTGAAGAATTCCCAACTGGATCCTGGCTTACACTGGGAGTTCCTGAGTGGGGAAAGCAGCTGACACAAATACCTAAGTTTGTTTTACCTATTTATTTATTATTACTGGTTATTGTTAAATGTATGGTTGTCTCTTTTCACTTTCTACCTTTTATTCATCATGTAACATTTGTGTCACCACTCCTGATGTATCACCAAGTGGTGTCTGTGGCAAACCAAATGATTCTAATTGTTGTCTAAAGATTGATGATAATGGTAAAGTTGTTAAACAAATTGCCCAGGGTATACGGAAAATAGCCCATGTTCCTGTCTAAACCTGGAAGGGCCTAGACGTAGATTTCTTTTCCTGGCTTCCAGGTGGCCCATGGGTCAAACGTATCCTATTTTATCTGCTGTGTGTTGTTGCAACTCTTGTGTTTGTACCGTGTATGATTCCATGTTTTATTCAACTGATACAACGTGTTGTATCTTCCATGTATTTTGTAACCGCTTCAACAGATGATGGACAAGTCCAACAGATCAGGGCAACATTTGTAACCAAGCCCAAGAAATCTTTCATAGTAATTGTGTAACAATTATCTTCCCCTTCTCCCCCTCCTCTTTCCCTCTTGCTTGTTTGCTGTCTTTCCATTTTCTCCCTTTTCTTTTCCTCACCACCATGGAGGGTTACTTATGCTTCATTTCAAGCAATCTTTGAGCCACGGGGTGGTGTGAGAATCCTTCTCTGTTTTTTTTTTGGCTCAAAGCTTGCTTCCTGAGGTATTTCTTGTGATAAGACTCTGAATGATTTGTTGAGGAGGCAACTAATGGGTGCTAACCATGTGACAATGGATATCGCTTTGGGAACATTTGAAAGCCCCTTCCCCCAGAGCTGCTTGCTCTGTAGAAGAGCAGATGAGAATGCTCAGGAGTGTTTACTGGCGGAAGATCTGGCCTGTGACAAAACAGCTCCAGCTAGGTGTGGGAAAATTGGGGAACGATACCATCGTGTTCTGTGAGAAACAGGATGCAGATGGGCACCCCTGCTCCCTCTTATCTGCTGGCAAGGCCCGGAAGATGGGAACAAAGGAGTTTCTGCTGAGATCCCAGAGCCAGAAGCTGCCACTCAAAGGAGAGCTGACTCGACCACTTCGGATTTGAGCTGTCACTCCAAAGATAGCTGACTTCACCACTTTGAAACCATTGAAAAGGGGCCATCATCACCGTTGTCGTCATTGTCGTTGGCAACAGGACAACTCTGCCTGACCACCCACCGCTACTGAAGATCAAAGACTGAACTATGAACCACGCTGGATCCATGGCGGTGACTATGTCCCTCTTGCTTCCTATAAAGACTCCTTGCCTCTTCTTTTCTATCTTTCCTATCGCCCTCCTTCCCTTCCCCCATTATCCTAATTCATAATAGTGTCCGTCCTCCCCTTCCCCATTTCCTTAAGTAACATTTGTAATAAACTGGTCGGACCAACATTTGAACCGTTGCTTCTTAATCTCACACCGGGTTTATAGATAATAAAAGAACCTCCTCTCCCTCCTATAAATTGGAGCGAGACACCATCTTGGTGGCCCTCTGCTGGACTCTTCCCAAGAGATCCCTGTCTGTTTTGTACTGGGGAGCCCAGAACTGGACGCAGTGCTCCAGATGAGGCTTTACCAGGGCAGAGCAGAGGGGGAGGATCACCTCCCTCCACCTGCTGGCCACGCTCTTTGCAATGCACCCCAGGATGCCATTGGCCCTCTTGGCCACAAGGGCACACTGCTGGCTCATGGCCAACCTGTCGTCCACCAGGACACCCAGGTCCCTCTCCGCAGAGCTCACCTCCAGCAGCTCATCCCCCATCCTGTACCGGTGCATGCAATTATTCCTCCCCAGATGCAAGACTCTGCAATTGCTGTTGTTAAACCTCATCCATTATTTTACTGCCCAGCTCTCCAGCCTGTCCAGGTCTTGCTGAATGGCAGCACGGCCTTCAGCCAATCCTCCCAACTTCGTGTCATCAGCAAACTTGCTGAGGGTGGCCACCATCCCCTCATCAAGGTCATTGATGAAGATGTTGAACAAGACCGGACCCAGCACCGACCCCTGGGGGACACCGCTGGTTACAGGTCTCCAGCCAGACTCTGCACCGCCAATGACGACCCTCTGCGCTCTGCCAGTCAGCCAGTCCTCAACCCACCTCACTGTCCACTCGTCTGTCCCACACTTGCTCAGCTTTGGATGTCGTGGGGGACAGCATCAAAAGCCTTGCTGAAATCAAGGTAGGCTACATCCACAGCTCTCCCCCCATCCACCCAGCCAGAGACAACATCACAGAAGGCCACCAGGTTGGTGGAGCACGACCTTCCCTTGGTGAACCCATGCTGACTACTCTTGATCATCTCCTTTTCTTCCAGCTGTCTGGAGATGACATCCAGCACAGCTGTTCCATCACCTTTCCAGGGACAGAGGTGAGGCTAACTGGCCTATAACTGCCTGGATCTGCCTTCTTGCCCTTTTTGAAGACCGGAGTGACATTGCCTATCCTCCACTCTTCAGGCTCCATTCCCCTCTCCTCCTCTCCCCTCCCTTCCCTTTTCTTTCTCTCCATGCCCTCTATCCAGCTCTGAAGTGGAGATGCCTCGATGTCAGCGGTTGATGGGCTGGTTCGGCCCAGTTCCATGACCAGCGGGGCGGAGGGATCCACGGGTCCGCAAAAGGGAAACAGGGGATCCCAAAATGATTGAAAACAGTGGCAACGATCTCAGGTGGAACAAACTAATTTACTAAATATGGTATCAGCAAAATAGAATGAGAGAGAGAGTGTGTCTGAAAAGTAGATAGGCCTCACCACAGCGCTGAGGAGAGAACTGTGGTCCAGTTGAGCCAATGAAGAGAAGCAGGCAGAGAAGCGCAGGCAAAGACGAGAACATCAGGGGGCTTGGCCAGGAGCTCTGTGTCCTTGCTGACCGCAAAGCCCGCAAAGACCGCTGACGCAGCCTGAAGGAACACAGCCTCTCCATCTCTTGCCATAGATGAAGACCTGCCTCTGGCAAGCCCTCTTTGCTTGGAATGCAGCACAAGCCCTTCCCTTCCAGGTGCCTCAGTTCCGCTGCACTGTCCGTGACAGGGAAAGCACGGCCATGCCAGAAAACCAGGTGACTCAGTCCGCTGCCTTTGGTGCCACCTCCGAGGAAGCATTCCAGCTGATTCGAGCGTCCTGTGGGCCTTCTCGCTCAAGCCCTTCTTTGTTCTTTTTGCTCTCCTTCTGGGCTTCCTTCCTCAGCAGAGCAGCACTTGCCTTGGCTTTCTTCACTGTCTCACCAGACCGAGTCCCAAGACTGTGCCAGTCCTACAAGAATCAAGGCAGAAATGGTAAGGGAACCTTCACAGCTAACAAGCGGCTGACAGCTCGCGTGGGGAGATCAAGCCACCACCCGGGCAGCTTTGGCTGCTAGCACTGGAAACCGCCTTCCTGCCATCAGGGCACGCCAGAAACTTCACCTCCATCTCCTGCCCAGAAGTCCCACACAAACCAGAACTCAAAGCCATCTCCTGCAAGGCAGCGCCTGCACAGGGCTTGGACACTGCCTGGCAGCACACACAGCACAGCAGCAGCAGCAGCAGATGAGCAGCACCCCAAGGCTCCTGGCGTGCATCAGGAACACGCGCCGTAGGCACACCACCGTAGGCCACAGCTACAGATTGTTCCCTCCCTGCCCATTGCCCGTGCCTTGCTATCAGCCTCAGAGAGCACGACTTACTGGCTTATGGCACCTGGAAACTGGCACGATTACAGCCAGCGCACAGAGCAGCTGCAAAGTGGCTCCACAGAAGAGATGGTGGCGCAGCACGTTCTCCGCCAGCGTGGGCTCGGGGATCTCAGCTGGGAGAAATGCCCTTCAGCAGCCACACAGCAGGCAGCCTGCTGCTCTCCTGCTCTCAAGGAGGCTGCTTTCTACAAGAGGGGAGAAGGAGTCGTTATTCTCTCACGCACACTGCTGTTACAGGCTGACTTAGAGCTGTTCTGAACATCTCCTTGGTCTACTGACCCAATGACAACGAAGGACACGAAACTTGCAGCTGCGTTGTCTTTTACCGCCTGCCGAGGAAAAGATTACTCAAACTTGAGCATTGCTTCACTTGCAGGCGAGGGGAGCAGGAGCTGAAAAGGACAGGAGGACATAAAAGAAGGGCAAAGCTTAACAGAAAGCAGACCTGCTGCAGACAGTGCCACCAGCTGTGTTTGAACAGCAGTGCCTTAGCACACGCTTACAGTAAGAGACACATACCTTGCAAGGGCCGCTCAGGAAGGTTGTGACACAGCACCTATGGCTCCCCTGAGTCCCAACTCCATTTCTCAGCCACTCACGTCTCGATGTTCTGCAACAGAAAAGTCACAAGACGGAAATTCAATTCATTGCAGATGCCATCAAACCTCCCTTCTCAGGGCAGTCGCACTCATTTCTCTGCATGAGAATTTGGGGAGGGCTTACCGAGTGAGCAGCATTTACTGCCAGCTGGCAGCAGCAACCTATGCCTAACTCTAAGCTCCTAACAGTAACCTATGCCTAACGCTAAAACTGAACTCAACACTAAAACTAAGCTAACACTAAAATCAACAACAAAGCCCAGAACAAAGCCTAACTCCTACGGGGGGAAGATGGAACTGGGGGCCCGCAGAACCGCAGAGGAGCAACAAGGTGGAGGAGGAGCAGATGTTAGCAATGCCACCCAGCTAATGCCGGGGGCGGGGGCCGCGCAGAGGGTAAGGGGCCGAGCGCCCGGACCAGCGATGGCGGAGCTGTGAGCGCGCCAACACAGGGCCTGGCACGGTGGTGTGGTGCCAGGCCAGCTGTGCCGCAGGCGGATCCACCTCCATGGGTTCCTCTGGAGGCGGATCCACCTCCATGGGCTCCTCTGGAGGCGGATCCACCTCCATGGGCTCCCCATGGTCGCTCACAGCGCTGGCCCGGGCGCGATGGAACCGGGCTCCCTTCCTCCTCTCCCTCCTCTGCCTGATGGTCATGGTGGGCCCCCTCCTCCTCTTTGGTTCTGGGGCCCCCAGCTCCCTCTTCCCATTTAAAACCGCTCTCTCCTCCTCCGCTCTCGCTCTCTTCGTGCTGGACATGGCTGCCACCTGCCCAGCACTCTCAGAGACGAGTGCGCCGGGTGGGGCGGCAGTGACCAAGGTGACGGCTGTGACATGGGGAAGGTTCCACAATGGCACCTGTGCTGCTGGGAGCGGCGTTCCGCACGGGATGAGGAGGGGGCTGCAGGGCACGGGACGGCGGCGAGAAGGCGCTCCCTGTGCCCAGCGGGCAGCCCTTCTCTGCGGCCAGCAACAGGGCACAGAGGAGCCGGCCCCGAGGAAAGGGCCCGCAGCCTCCTTCGCCCTCTCCCTCCTGCCACGTGGGAATCCCCTTCTGGGGCTGGGCCTCGCAGCACACAACACTCAGGGCACGCTCAGGGATGTCCTGAGGTCAGCGCAAACAACGGCGCGCTCCAGAGTGGAGCTGACGACGCCTGCCTGCTGGGAGACAGGAGCCCCGGCTTCCATTTCAGCATCCAGCACCTCAAACATTGAGCGTCTGGGCGCTCAAACATTACCTACGTAAATACATCCCAGCGAGTTCTCCACAAAACTTTCCGAGTCTCTGAGGGAATACGGTATAGGGAACAAGCTTCTGTGGGCAAAAGTCCATGCAAGAAGGACTTCTTACCATTCGCTTCAGCTCTTCTGCAGCACGTGGTGATTCTGTCCCTTTAACTCTGCCGGGGCTGCAAAGCCCTCCACCAGCCTCTGCCAGATAGGAGACTTTCCTTCCTACTCACTCTTCTTTAGATCCCTGGTGGGAATAGAAGTGGTTGTTGGGAGATGCTGGGAGATAGACACTGCAGCTGGGTGACTTGTAGGGAAGGCATAAAGAGAAGCAGAGAAATGGCTGCCTCCCCTCAGCATTCTGACCTTACACCATCCCCAGGGTATGCATCCAGGAGAACAGCTGCCCTGTTTTTTGAGAAGTTTCTCTTCTTGTACAGAAAATCATTGGCTGTTGGACCACAGGGAAAGAGATGGAAGAAAATGCAAGAAAGGTCTTGTACCAGGTCAGGCGTAGATTATCCCAATATTACAAGTAGAATAGGAGGGAATATCACAACTGTTTCCAAGAAGCTATTATCACATTGTCCACCCCCATTGCTCATTACTGTGACTTGTAGCAGACTTTCCAAGTCACAGTCTGAACCAATACATGAGCACGAGTGCCTGGTGCAGGAGAGAGACGAGGCTGCATTCCTCAGCTCCCCCCCCCCACATCCCTCCCTGCACTCTGTTTTGCCTCTGTTCGTTCTGCACCCCCTTCCCTGGTTCACAATTAAGCGAAACGCCGTTCTGAAACGACTCTAAAGAAACGCGTTCCACATCGCTCATCTTCCTCAGTGCCCCACTGTATAATCAATGACTTGTAAGATGCTATAATGATGAGAGAAAGAAGAGAGTTTGACAAAGCAGAGTATGATAACAAAAAGAGAACAAACAGAAGGCTTACCCCTACCCAGGGCTCACTCACAAAACTCCAGCAGGGCCAATCTCCAGAAGAGCTCCTTCCCCACTGGCAGCCAGCTCTTAAATACGTCCAGGAGGGCAGCACAGCTGAATTGCCTTCACTGTGCTCCTCTGGCTGACTCATGGCTCGCCTCAGGTGATCAATCAGAGGTTCAGGCTCGGACTTAGCAGTTCCCATGTGCACACCTAAACATTTCCTGAACGCCTCCAGGGAATCTGACTGCAGTCCCTCCCTGGGCAGTCTGTCCAGGGCCCAACCACTCTTTTGGAGGAGTTTTTCCTAACGTCCAGCCTGAAAGAACTCTTGTTGCTCTCAAGGTTCTTTCATTTCTTCACAAAGCTGTTTCAAAATCTTCATCTGGGAGGGAGCACGTGAGCCTAATGAGATTCAGCAAGGTCAAGTGTAGGGTGTTGCACCTGGGTCAGGGCAACCCCAGATATCTGTGCAGGCTGGGAGAAGAACTCATGGAGGGCGGCCCTGCTGAGAAGGACTTCGGTGTCCTGGCGGATGAAAAACTTCACCTGAGCCAGCAGTGAGAGCTGGGCTTGTTCAGTCTGGAGAAGAGAATGCTCTGGGGAAACCTGATGTGGCCTTCCAGTAATTAAATGGGAACGTATAAGCAGGAGGGAAGGGTGGTGCTATAAAGACTATAAACTATAAAGACTAGAATGTCTTGAACCTCAACAAAATAATTTCAAAAGTCAGATGGACTCTGCTATAGAAGCTTGTTACGTGAGAGCAAATCTGACTGCAGGAAAATCGAAACCCTTTCGTGGTGACTTTGGTAAGTAACGTGCAGCAAACACAACAGGCATAATGTGTCCTGATTAAAAAACAAACAGAAAAGGACAGGTGCCTGTGTCAGATGCCCATGGCAGCAGAGGATCTTCCAGAAGAAGGAGGCAGCAGAACCTTATGCTCACACTGCAGTACAGGAGCAGAAAAGTACCGGGAAGCTCTGGGTTGCTCTCGGGAAGGCAAAACTGCACAGAGATGCACCAGCTGGGTTTGGCAGTGCCCTCCCACCCTCAGATTTCCTGCACACAGCTTCACGCCGCTCCCCTTCACCCTGTCCTACCTCAGAGACCCAAGGAGCACTGATTTGGTACAAAGCACAGCAGTGTCGCATTAACATGCAAGTTGTGTTTTCATTGTCAGGGCTATTACAGCCCAAAGGTTGTAATAAAGTTCACGTAAAGGAGGATAAAATACGGATGTTCCATGTACAAAAGCAAAGAGGAAAGGTTGTGAGGGGGTTTCCCCAAGAGAAGTACGATTTCAGAAAGGGACACGTGCAGAGAACCCAGAGGGATATCGAGGCAAAGCTAACAGTGACTGCTACAATGGTGCAGAGAGAGAATTCACTGCCAGGAGTAGCTCACAGTGCAGTGATAAGGATTCACAGCCATGGCTGCAAGGTTGTGTTTTAATTAAAAATTGTGTTTTAATTAGAAATGCTAATTGGAAACAATCTGGATTTCTGAGCTAACTGTACTTTTAGTAGGGGGGGATTGCTACACGGTGCTGCAAAAGAGGGGTGCAACAAGGGGCACAGCAGTGGGGGCTTGTGCACAAAGGAAGCGATGCAAAGCCTCATGCAAACCAGAGGGCTGTGAGGGATGGCAGGCTTTTGGGGCCAAAGCAACAAAGGGGGGGGAGGACACAGGAAGGGGAAGCAGGAATGGGAAGTGGTGGGGGAGGAGGAGGAAAGCAGTGTGGCTGAAGTGTGCAAGATAGGATGGTGCGTTTGCACAGCAGGTGGAAGGGTGGTGGGCTGCACACGTGTGTGTGGCACAGGGGGTGGAGCAGAGTGCAGTGGCCAGGTCCTCCCTGGGCAACGTCAGGTGTCAGCAACAGCAGGAGCGCTTGGAGCACTGCCTCCAAAAACCGTGCCAGGATGGCGGCTTGGTGCTCCGAAGCTGCATAGGTTCTACTCTGGACCAGTAGGAGTGCAGCAGCTCATGGAATGCCACGGGACAAATCAGGCCATGCGCTCTTTGTCGATGTCTAATTGTGGCTGTTTTTTATTGACTACAACCAAATTTGTGGTGCCGAGTTGGGCGGCACTCGAACGCTGCCCTGTAACGCCGCGCACTGCAGCGCTGCCTGCTGATGCTCGTCCTCTCAGTCCTTCAGCTGCAGCTTCTGCATCATCTCCACAAGGCTGTTCATTGCGGAGCACTGGAAGGAAACAAGGCAAGGAAACAGGACAGGAACAATCTGGGGAGATCTCCTTAAGCAAGTCTGATCAGGACACTTCCAGAACGGCCCCATGCAGCACAGCACGTTCCTGCCATTCAGGTCACTGGCGTTACTTCCCACAACAGCTGCCTATGGTAAGATTCATGCTCTGCTGGGGGAACGAGGTTTCCAAGGTCGCAGTGCCCGACATGGCAAGGCTCTTTATCACAGCAAAACCCTCCGGCCGTTACCAACGGTGCCCTTCTCAAGCCAGAGGAAGGCATCCAAGCTCCCCTGGGCAGCTCTCACTTACAGCTGACAGGGGCGTTGGTCTTGATGATCTCTAGAGGTCCCCTCCAACCCCTACAATTCTGTGATTTCCTCAAACACACAGCTGGGTGCTTTTCTATTACACTGCTTGCCCTGGGATTCTGCAGTATCTGTCACGTCTGACAGACGGAGGCACTGAGCACAGCAAGAGCCGTGTCTGCGCTCACCAAGGACTCACCTCCGCACGTGCAGCAGCAGCTCTCAGGGAAGCCTTCTTCAGTTCCACGCTCCTCTGTTTTTGTCGTTGTCTTCTCAGCCAATCGGAGCCGGAGGCGCTGCTGCTGACCAATCAGAGACTGGAGGCGGGCCGGAACTGCCGCTGAGCAATGAGAGGCACAGATGGACCGGAAGTGCCCCTAACCAATGAGAGGCCGGGGGCGGGGCAGAATGGCTGTGCGGGAGGGGCCTCGGGGTGCCCTCTGTTGCCATAGGGGATGGGATTGGGATTGGAGTTGGGATCGGGGATGTGGGATTGCGATTGGGATGAGGGATTGAGATCGACAGGTGGGTGACGGGCTTGGGATGAGGGACTGGGAATGAGATTTGGAATTGGGATTGGGATGTGGGATATAGGATGTTGGATTGGGATGTGGAATGTGCGATTGGGATGTGGGCTGTGGGTGTGTGGATACGGGATGGGATATCAGGAATTGGGATACATGTGAGACGGACTTTGGATATGGGATGGACTTGGAATGGATATGGGATTGTAGAACCATAGGATTGTTCAGGTTGGAAAAGAGCTTCATGATCATCAAATCCAACCACAACCCAACCATACAATCGGTCTGGTCTGTCCAGGTTCCTCTGCAGCACCTTTCCCTCTGGCAGATCAGCGCTCCCTCCCAGCCTGGTGCCATGTGTGAACGCACTGAGGGTGCCCTCAATCCCCTCATCAAGATCATTGACAAAGGTGTTCAATAGGAGCGGCCCCAGTACCGAGCCCTGGGGGGCAGCACTCGCGACCGGCTGCCAGATGGAAAATCCTGCTGTGTGTACAGAGTCAGTTGAGTCCCTGCCTGAAGACAAAACTGGCAGAAGCCAAACAATGTGGGGCAGAAGAGCCATGGCATGGGAGGTATCTTTATGCCTATCTGCACAGCAAGCCCGGCTTCCCCTGCTTCACCCCTCCATGGGAACTGCCCCTGCTGGAGTCTCTTCTGGCCACAGTGAGGCAGGGCGATTCCCCTCCATCTACTCGTGCCTGCTGCCCATCTCCACGGCAATTCATGGGCAGCGCAGGAGAGCTGTGTGAAACGCCCTCTGCACCCCGCTGCACAAAGGACTGCAGGGAGAGAGGAGGGCAAGGGGTGGTGGTGGCAACTGTGGGACACGGCCATCTGTGATGCCCCATCCTGCCCCGAAGGGCATGGGGAGCTGCGGGGCTGGGACACAGCACAAATGACTGCAGGCAAAGATGTGGCAAAGAGAACACAAAGCTTTTAGTACCGTATCATAGAAAACAATGAGTAACAGCAATGACAGTAATCCTAAAATTCCCATCCCACAACAGTTGATGCCCAGATGATGTCCCATCCCACTGCCATGATGACTCCAGAGGACAGCTCGGTTCTGGAAAGGAGGGATGGGGACGCTGGCGGTGCCCCTGGAATGCTGCTGCTGCTGCCTGCTGCTGTGGGCCGGCGAGGAGCGCAGGGTTACGGGTAGCCATACCGGTCAGCGATGGCCATGTCTATCTCCCGCTGCACGAGGAACTGCACGGGGCCGATCTTCATGTGCCGGGCCGCCCGCTGCCGCTCCTCCTGGGCCAGCTTCTTCATGCGCTCCCGCTCGGGCCGCTGCTCGGCTGTGATGGGCAGCGACTCCTCCATCACTATGGGTGCCGCACCACCACCCGCCCGCGGCCCCATGCAGGGCACAAAGTCCATGGGGCGCCGCGGCTGAGGCTGCTGTTGGTGCAGCGCTGCTGGTGGTGGTGGTGATGGTGGTGATGGTGGGTCCCTCCGCAGCGGTGAGCTCCTCTGCAGGGATGGGCTCGGGCAGCTCGGTGCCGTCCTCTTGGCAGTGCACTCCTCTCGTGCCACGCTGCCTGGAGGTGCCGGCGCTGCCTTGTTTGTTTTGCTGTCTTGGGGCTGGAGGGCAGCAGGGCCAGCACTGGCTGAGGGTTGGGGCCGCACAGAGGGTGGCTGGCGCACCGGGCCCACCACAGTCACCCTCTGCCCCAGCGGGTGCACGGCCTGGATAGATTCATGCAGGTGCATGCGCAGCTCGCTGCCTGAGCCCGCTTGCCCGCTGCTGCTGACTCCTGCACCAGCCCCAGGCAGCCTCCCTTGGCACGCGTGTTTGCGGCCTTTTCTCTCACTTCTTTCTCTCTGCGGCAGCAGCTTCCTTTTCTTGGCTGGGGCGTTGCTGGTGGGCTGCTCCTGCTGGGAGCTCTCCCCATTCTGGGGGGTGCCAGCAGGCGCAGGGCGCTTGGCCCCCCGCTTGGTGCTGCCCCTGTTCTTCTTTTCTGCCTGAACCACCTGGGGCTGCCTTTGCTGCACCTCCTCGGTGGGCTGCGCGCTTTGCGCTGAGGGAGGTGCGCTGACAGCCAGGGTGGTCGGCTGTGGGCTGAGCCGGGCGCTCGCTGGTGGCACGACGGGGCGCAGCTCCGACAGCCCGCACTGCAGCTCAGGCAAGAACCCGGGGGATGGTGGAAGCCCCCAGAAGGGGTCGGTGGGTGTCCCAGAGGCAGCCTGTGTGCTGAGCTCCCTGCTGTCCCCAGGGTTGGCAGGGAGCTCAGTGATGAAGCATCCTGGGGCAGGGCTGCCGGGGTTCTCATGGGGGACCTCAGCAGCTCTTGCCACGTCTGAAAATGCAAGAACATCCCCCAGAACGGTGATGATAACCTTCCCACACCCACTCGGTGCAAACACGCACCTGCAGCTCTGCAGCCCCAAAACTCACCATTGATCCAAGAGAGCAAACCCTGGATGTCCGTGATGTCCTCCGGCACATCCGAGCTGCTCGCCACTGCTGGGAAAAGCAAGAAAAAATCCCAAAGAGTCAATGCCAGCTCTCCTGTACCATGTTCACAGCAAGGGATCTAGGGTGAACGTTGGGTTCCCATTATAGAACAGGACAGGGAAGGTAACTGTAAATCCCAGAGATTCAGGCCCAAAGCAATATGCAATGAGAACAGTCCCAGGAAAGGACAGGCAGAAAGCGTAACTAGAAAGACGGTGCACCAAACCCAGATGCCTGCTGTGTGCTGTACCTCTCTTGGGTGCTGTGCCACACTCCTGGCTTTCCACATGGCTACGCTTCAGAGGAAGGCCACTGGCATCAGCTTCTGACAGAAAGGAGACAAGAAAGACATGAAGAGCATCTCTTGGGAGGAAGATTTGAACACTGCCAACCACAAACTTCTGGTCTTCAGCAGCAGTTTTGTCAATTTGCCTTTCTGCTGCTGCAGCCCTGTGCCATTTCTGCAGTCAGCACAGAACTGCAGTCCTTTCCTCTCTCCTCCATCACACACAGCCCTGCATACAGCCCTACTTAGAGGCAGTGCCCACACCACAGCTCACAGGAGCTTCTTACCTGCGGAGGCTTTCCGTTTCCCCCCTTGCCCCGCACCGTTCCACAGATGCACAGGTTTTGTCCCTGCAAGAACAGATCGTGTGTTGATTTCACAGACACCAGCAGGCAGCACAAGTATTGTCCAGTAAGCCCATGTCCCCCCAGAAAACAGAAAGATGCTACTTTGACAGCCCAAACACAACTGATAGTTCACTTCTCACTGCCCCTTCCTGCACTCCAAACAGATGCTTACTTGACATCGCCTGCAGCACTGCAATCTTCAGCTGCCTGGATTCCCGAGTTCTCCTTTTGGAGAGGAACCTACAGAAAGTATCAGTAAGTGAAAAAATCATGACAAAGAAGCATTTTCCCAGCTTTCTTCTGCCATGCAATGTCGTCTCTTGAGGAAGGCAATGCTTGGAAATCAGCTGGCTGCAAGAACTGCCTGCCCATCCCTAGCTGCAGCTGGTGTCTGACTGCCATGGCTTCTGTCAGCAAGTGCCCCCAGGTCCCCTTTTCCCCCACACGTGTGCTGACCGTCCATGCCCCCAGCTGAGCACCTGGCTCTCTGCCGTGACTTCAGCGCGGTTTGCTGAAACACCGGCTGGGCATGGCACACCAAGCAACCCACGGAGCAGAGAGGCACAAGTTGCACCCTATGAAGTCTGCGCTCTGCTTCCTTTTTAAGGTCTGACATGAAGGTGGGGGCCTGGCAGCAATTTTCCAGGGGAGGAAGGACATTTCATCATCCTCATTGAAACGTGGGATGGAATCCGAACAAGAACCCATTTTCCCTGGATACAGCCATTATTCAGAAGGGCACCGTTTGACCTGGGAACTCCTCCCCAGCCCAGCTTTTCTGCTGAGATAACCCTGGCAACCACCAGCACCAACCCAGCTCACCTGGTCAGCCTGCTCAGCCGGAGCTGTGCCCAGCTGACGCACACGCCGCAGCGCTGCTCCCAGTGGGCTCTAAAGGATGATCTCTCCAGAAAAGCACAGAGCTCAGTCTCAGTGTGCACCACGCTCACTAGAGCACCAGCTCTGCTCCCAGCTGGGGCACAAACGCTCCCAGCCCGGCAACCACTGTGACCTCAGCGAGTGCCTGCATCACCGCTGTGCTTTCATCGTAGGCAAAGGAGTGGTCACCTCCCAGATCCAAATTGTAGGAGACCAACACCAGGGTCACCCATGGGGTGAATTGAAGTAAAGTAACTTAAGAGAAGTCTAATGACTTTAGTGCAGCCCAATAAAACAAGGAAGGCCTCAGAGTGGTCAATAGAGTCCCATAGGTACCAGTAGAAAACAAAACCCAATGCCAGCATCTCGGTCCCAGGGCAGTGCTGACCTCCCCAGCAGTGTCTGGAGCTTTAGGCCCCTGGGCTGGTGCCGGCGTCTCCAGCTGGGCTGTGGCTTGAAGCCCCTGGGCTGGATCCCACCTTTTGGGCTGTTCTTTTTGGCTCTTGGGCTGGTGCCAGCCTCCCTGGTTGGGGCTGTGGCTGTAAGCCCCTGGGCTGGATGCAGCCTTTGGGGCTCTGGCCCAAAGCCACCAGGGCTGGTACCAAATTTTAAGAAAACAACACGACGGCCACCCAATGGAGTTATCTGAAGTAGCAAAACAGAGAAATTAAGATGACTCTTGTGTAACCAGCCTGGGTCATCCTCCCGCTCAGGCACTGCATGATCAGACCCAGGAGATGTTGCCCCCAGGCTGCCTCCAGAATGGAGGCCGGAAGGATTTGGGCTTCCAAGCAATCAGCCAGCATTCAGATGAGTCAGCCCCCTGGTTTTTGTGAGGACAGACAAAGTCCATCTTGAAAAGCCATCTGGGCAAAGGCAGAACAGCTTTGTTCTTGGGCCGCAGCACTCCGTGGCCAGGCGCTGCTCAAACGCTGGGCCTGCATTTCCTCCTGGGCATCCACACGTGCTCTGAGTCTGCTGCAGTTTTTTGCAGGGTCTGTGGCTTCCTGCTGAGGAGCTCCTCGTGTTCTTCTGCAACTGCCCCCCAGCATCACTGCTGCCTCCTCTGGTGCCGTGCCAGGCGATGCGTCAGCGTCCATCAGCCTGCACTTCCTTCCTCCCAGCAGCAGCTGCTCCTGCACTGACCTCCATTCACACTGGATGCCGTCCACTTCTAGCGCCAGCTGACCTGCGAGACAGAGAAAGGAAATGTGGGATCAGCACAAATGCAGAAGCCCACGGCTGTGCCACCACCACGTACTGCAGCCTTGGGAAGCCAGCTGCCACTGCAACCTTGGTCAGAATTTAAGCAGGCACCGTAAATTGTGACTTCTGAACTGAAGTAATTGCCACAGTCAGAAATAAATACTGAAATCGCTTACTGAACTGTAGGTGGTTACCTCTGAATTCTTTTGCTTTGGGGAAAATATGGACTTGGAATTGAAGGGTACAAGAAAAATAGGAGCACTTGGCAACTCAGGCAAACTGAGCAGTGCAGGGAAGATTGCTGCATTTCTTTTTCTCCTGGCCCAGAAATGAATTTTCCTACCTTAAAAGAGGTACTGAAAAGAGGTACCTTAAAAGAGAAAAGAGAAGAAGAGCCTGACAGAGTAGACACATCACAGTCTCACATCACGGGTAGAAGCTGGAGAGCTCTCATGGCACAAAGCTCAGGGCTGCAGAAATTAAGGGTGCCTCTAAGCTTCAAAACAAGGTGAAAGACAAGGTGGAATGCGAAACATCGGCACTTCCTGCAGAGCACATCACACAGCTGTAGGCAGCGCCTGAGGGGTAACAGATCAGAAAGGAAAACCTGACTATGTGAACGCAGGGACAAGCTGCTCTCTTCTTCTGGGCCTTTGTTCAGTGAGGATTTCCCCCAAGAGCGCCGCTCAGGCTGCTGCTGTCTCCAGCTGTCGGCCACTTCCACTGCTGGACGCTGTGCCCACAGCTCATTCTGCTTTGGGCAAAGCCTGCTGGGTGAACTCCAAACCAAGGTCACAGCCACGCTAATCCAGCTGGTTGGTCTGAAAGGGCTCAGAGGCCACGCATGGGATCCCTTCTGCTGCTGGTTCTCTCGGGGCAAGAAGCTCCACTCTCAGAGTAGCAGCCAAGAGCCAGAAGGCAGAAAAAGCTTCCAATCCCCATGGATGTGGCTGTCTGCTTCAGCAGGGTGACGCTCACCCAGCAAAGCCCTCACCCAGCAGATGCCTTTCCTTACACTCAGAACTGTCTCACATTTGTGCAGCCCTTGGCACTGCATTTCCAATCCAAGCTCACATAGATCTCAACCATTCCTTCTGTGTCAGTCTACTTGGATCCCCAGTTAGGGCTGCAGCTCAAGAGGTCAACACAACAGGAGTAGCACAGCAGGCAACTGGAAAACACATCTCAAGGCTGAGAAGAGCCACCTCTGACCTTGGGCACAACTCACCAAGAGCCAGGCCTTGCAAACTTGGCTGATCTGAGCATGCGGGAGGGGGCTGGCAATCAGACCAGCAGTGTCCATTTCCATTGCAGCTCCGTGTAGAGAAGAACGCCAAACAGTAACAGGTGTGAATGAGTTCATTCACAAGCTGCACAAGGAGTTTGTTCTTGATTAAAAAAAGCATGCATTCCAAGTCAAAAAGGGAACAGCAGGAGTTGATATCAATGGAAGACGTTCCTATTCCCACACCTCATCCTCCTACCACAGCTTTCCTTGCCTCACCCCTACCCCCAGCTCCTGGAAAATGCCCGCAGACTGAAAGTCAGCTCTCAAATCCATAGACTCCTTTCCCATTGCTCCATTAAAAGAAGACTTCAGACTTGTTTCACGCACTCCAACTGACCGAGCAGTGGTACCACAATCACTCCTAACACACGAAGGCCACTCTCAAAAGCTTGTAACAACTCTTGCCCCAAAACCAACATCTCCACAGCCATCCTTCTCACGTGAGTCCAGGAAACAAATCCACAGTCTTTCTGAACTGCTATATCAGTAGCATTTCTGGTGGTAGAAAGGCACAGCAAATAGTCCATCAGAGACATTCTGGCACATCTCCCATGAAAAACAGCATTATTCAAACACCTGTGTTTCTAAAGATGAAAAACATCCAGTAAGCAGCAACGAGAGGCTCTGTCTTTAAATCTTTCCAAAGGGAGAAGTGTTCATGTCCACTTTTCCTGACCACACAAACACGGCCCCAGCTGTCAGAGCCCTTCTGCCATAGCACAAGCAGACTGCACGCACATTGAAGAGCACGCACAGCCCCTCCTGAGCTCCTGGAGCCCATGGCTCCCCTTCAGAGCTCCACAGGTTACCGGTGTTTCACACTGATGCAGCCTCACTAAAGCTTCATAGGTGTCAAAGAAGGCCTGCAGAAGGCAAGAGGTGGCAGCCAGAGGACAGGACATTTTCCATTTATTATCCTTTTGTTGCAATAATCTGACTTAGCCTAACTTTCCTGGATATTTCTCAGTTATAACATCTGTGTATTCATTGGTTATGCATTAGGGTACATTATAATGTACGTGCTGGAAATTGTCTCCATATTAAGCTACATCACCATCTGTTTTCCACTAATTTTTGTTCTTTGCAGTAGGCATCATAGGTGAGACTGAACTGGAAAGTGAACGTGTGACTACTTGGAAAATCAACCCACTGCTGGGGAGAAAACGACAGGACACCCTCTGCAGGTTCCTTCCCCATCCGCCTGGGGCAGTGGCAGCAGAGCTGAAGACAAGAGCCCAGCAGGCAGTCAGACAGAAGTGAAAATCCAAACGAAGTTTAAAATCCAAGAAAATTAAAAAATTAAACGTGAAAGTAAGAATGAAGTCTTTACAGAAGTTTGTGTCACTGAATTCAGAGAACTGTTCTCAAACCTCGAAGACATGACTGTCTGCATTGGCGAGGAATAAAACGTGCAGCACAGGAAACACTCTCTGGCTCCTTTCCCTGTGCCCCAGGTCTGTTCTGACACTGGCAGCGAGGCGCAGATCTTGTGTTTCTCAGGGGGAGAAAGGAGTTACAGCTGAATCCAAACCTAGAGTCGGCTTGGGCTGGTAAAATTCCTCCTACAGTGTAGGTACGAATTAATTGATTTCAGGGAGAGATTTCACAGAAAAACAGCATGTTTAATGGAACGATTCAACTTCAAAGCTGCATCAGTCACTTTAGTCATCTGTTGTGCAACACCAAAAATGAAAACAAAACCCCACCTGCTGGGCAAAATCGGGATTAAGTGAAAATTGAACGGGTTTTGGAGCCATTTCAACATTTTCCCCTTGATTTTTCCAGCTCAGGGAATGAGAAGAAGCTCTAAAGGAGCTGGAAGCCTCTCTGGATAAACGAAAAGAGGTGGGGTAATTTAAGGACGCTGATTGCCTGAAGTGCCATTTGACTTGATGTTTGTTATCTGGAACCATCATGTGTTTGCCAGCTTTAGTGCTTCTCTCCTTAAAGCACTTGAAATATGGAGTTGGAAGTTGATCAGATGGCTTTAATAGTGAAGCTGACAGGAGCTGTGAGTGCTGCTGGAGCCCTGTTCTGTGCAGCTGTCTGCGATGGGTGCATGGAGCAGCACTGAACATCTGCAGCTGTTT